CAGATAAAGCAGGAGGACGAGGACAGTTAGTGTTCTGGGACTGCAAGATTTGTAAAATATGCTTTTCAGTGCTTTATACTACTAATATTTTTAGCAATGTTGTGTAAAACAATGGCACGTTACTTTAAAGCTATTTTCATCTATGCAGATACTCTTATTAACCAAATATTGAGTATAATCAACCCCCCATTATCCATTTTGCATATAAAAGCTGATTGATCATAATTGCATTCCTATCTTTCAGTACATAATTGTATCCTGTATTACCTTTGCATTATATCCACAATAGATTGTTAGAACTATTGATGTGTAATAACCCAACGGTAACAGATTTTCCCCCCCACCCTGTATTTTGCATCCCTTATCAGTTTTCTACACTTAATAGCTACTGAATTATGACTACTACATATGTAATGTTTTTTCACTTGCTATTGGGTCTTTCACTTTATTATACAGGTGTTGTTTGGTAAAGAGGATAACTTCAGCTAAAAGCCCAGCCCGGTCCATTGGAAATCTAATAAAGTCAACTTAATGTCAAATTTCCCTTCATTTTTCTACCTAAACCTTAACTTCCAGTTTTACTTAATTTCCTTAAAACTAAAGAAAATTTTAGCCTTTTTGAAGTACTAAGCCTGCGTGTTACTGATTTTGGTCTTCTCTCTCTCTCTGCCCAAATTGAATTTAACAGCTTATAATCAGTGGTCTCTCCAGGCTAGCACTGTCCTCCAGTCTGTTAAGGGATTCCTCTTTTGTAGGTCTGTGTCATGATACCAGGGGATAACAATTTGGGATATGGCAGGGGTAGGCAATGTTTTTTGGCCGGAGTGCCAAAAAAACCACAATGTCTATTTTCGGGAAGTGCCGGAGTACTAGTATGCCAGAAAAACAAAATTGGGGGTGGACCAGATGCATGGGTGCACAGAGCCGGGCTGCTGGGCCACTAGCCAAAATCCAACCCAACAATGCCCTGGGGCTGCCAGAGCCCCTGTGCTTCCCTGGAGAGCCAGCCCCCGGGCTGCAACACAGCCAGCTGAGGCCCTGCCTTGAAGTTTGCCCATCAGCCCAACCACCCATCCACCCCACACAGCTAAGCCCACAGAGGTGCGGTGCTCCTGGCAAGGGGCAGCGCCAGCCTCATCCCAGTAGCGGGGCTGAGCCAATGCTGGGCTTGGAGCGGGTGGGAATCAGGCCAGCTCAGCTGCAAGCCCTGCTGCAAGCAGTCTGGGCTCTGTAGTTGAAAAGAGCTACCCAGAGCTGGGACTGCCTGCAGTGGGGAGTCTGCAAACTGCTGCACATGTGCCTCGGAGCAAACGGTGCGGGGGGCCTGAGACAGCATAACCCCAGCTTCTCCCATGCTGCGGGCACAGAGCTGATGACCGGGCTCTGGAGCCCGAGCAGCTACTTGCAGCCAACCTGGGCTCTGGGCTGCTGCAGTAGGCATGCTGCAAATGGCTGCGCCAGGCTCCGGCATCAACTCTGTACTGACACGTGCAGGCACACCTTGCAGTGGGGGGTCGGGGAGGGGCCTGAGGCAGCACAACCCCAGTCTCTCCCCGGCTCCCGGTGCAGCTGTTTGTAGCCAGCCTGGGCTCTGGGCAGCTGCAGCAAGCAGGCTGCCAACAACTGTGCCAGGCTCTACAGCTCTGGCATCAGCTCTGTTCGGGTGGCAACTGCACACGCACCTTGGAGTGGACGGTGGGGATAGGGCCTGGCCCTGAGGCAGCGCTTCCGCTGTCCACTCCAAGGTGCGTGTGCAGTTGCCACCCGAACAGAGCTGATGCCAGAGCTGTAGAGCCTGGCACAGTTGTTGGCAGCCTGCTTGCTGCAGCTGCCCAGAGCCCAGGCTGGCTACAAACAGCTGTGCCAGGCTCTGGAACCCAGCCATCAGCTCTGTGCTGGCAGTGGGGAGAGACCAGGGTTGCGCTGCCTCAGGCTCCTCCCCTACCATCCGCTCTAAGGTGTGCATGCATGTGCTGGTACAGAGCTGATGCCGGAGCCCGGCGCAGCTGTTTGCAACCTGCCTGCTGCACCCAGCCCCAGCTCTGGGTAACTGCTGCCAACCACGCAGCCCAGGCTGCTTGCAGCTTGCCAGCCGCCTGCTGGGAGCTGCCTGGGCTCCGTGGTTGGCAGCAGCTACCCAGAGCCAGGGCTGGTGGTGGCGTGCCGAGCAAAATGGCCTCCCGTACCATGCTCAGCACACGTGCCAAGGGTTGCCAACCCCTGGTATTTGTTAGATTTTTTTTTCCTAAGTTCTGGAAATTCTAGTAGTGTGGTGTTGGTAGGACAGATCTACCATGTGTCCTGAACTGAAATGCCTTATAACATGCCCTCTGCCCCATACCACCATGGATTAAAAAGAAAGTTATGGAGTAATTCCATCTTGTTCTGTAGTTTTGATTTGCTTATCTGTAACAGATAGTCTTATACAGCAGGTCAGCTGTCATTCAGTTTAGTTGAAGATATTAGAGGTGAAAGAACATGTTAGTTGAATGCAAAAAAATCTGTCTAGAGGAAAATCAATATCCAATCTAACAAAAACAGTATTAGTCTATTTGATTCCAAATTATTTTCCTATTATAAGTGTCCAAATAACCCTTTGAATTTTTCGTTCAGAAGCTAAATAACTCTTGGGAATATAGTTTCTTCAATAAACACATTAGATATTCCAAGAGATGAGGTTGGTCTTAAATGCAAAAGATTCATTCCAAAATTGGTTTAACAAAATATAGTCCAGAGAGATGATCGATCAGTAATTTAGTGGATGAACTAGAGGGAAA